CTGGGACAGCAGCCAGCATCTCCCTGCTCCGAAAAGCCCAGCCTGGGCTCTCCCCTGCGCCTGGTCGGACACATCCCGGTGCTCAGCCCCCCGGCCGGCCGCGGGCAGCAGCAGCAGCAGCAGCAGCAGCAGGAGCAGGAGCAGGAGCCTCCGCACCGGTAGCAGGGCAGGGTGGGCATGTCCCTGCTCCCGAGCCTCCCGGGGGCTGGGCAGGAGCATCAGGGGTGGCGGGTGGTGTAGCTACAGCTCCAAAGGGTCTGTGGGGCAGGCACATGGGTGGGTGCTCCCAGAGGGATGGAGGTACTTGGTTGGGGCAGGTGCCACGGCCGGGTAGGGGGTTCTGCATTTGGGGAGCTGCCAGGGGGAGGTCTCTGCATCCACAGCAGGAGAGAAGTGGGGGTGGGTGGCTCATAGGGATGTCAGTGGGCTTAGCTGGGAGGGAAAGCAGGGAAAAGGCACAGGAGCACTGGGTGTGCCACATGCTTCCTAAATAAAGCCTCTTTCCATGCCCTGTGTGTGCTCTTTCTGTGCTCTGCCCTTTGACTCTGGCTAGGAACAGGCAGGGAGGAAAGGGTTACCAGGGAGCAGCTGCCAGGCTTGGAGGTGACTGGCAGCCAAGGAGGGCCCTCCAGCCTGAGGAGCCCCCAGACCTTTCCTTTGCACTTGGCTCAGGACATCACCTCCCTGGAGAAGCTGAGAGCTCCTGCAAGGGGTGCAGAGCCTGCCCAGTGTGTCATGGACCAGTGAGGCGCCCAGAGAGGTGCCAGGGACCAGTTTGGCCCTGCACATGGGGAAGGAAGGCTTTTGGTGCCCAGAGATGCCTTGTGCCAGCAGCAAAGCCCCATGGAGGGTTATACCCTGTGGCTAGCTGGGCTTGCTCACAGCTTGGCAGCCACTGGTCTCCTCAGCCTGTACTTGTGTCCACCTTTCTCATCCCCTCAGGGGCCATTGTGCCCTTTGTCATTCCTTGTCCACCTCCCCCATTCCACCAGCCCTCATAAAGTGACAGGAGGCCTGAGCTCTCAGCCTGAGCTCTCAGCCTGCCTCATCCCAGGCTCCTCAGTTCCTTTCCTAGTATCACACCATGGATGGTGAGTCCGAGGGGTGGTGTTCCCCATTCCCCAGGGCACAGCTTGGTTCCCCCAGCTGCAGCCTCCTGGGGTGTTTATTTCCTGCTGTGGCATGTCCATTGTGCTGGTTTTAGCTTTTGGGTTGGTTTCAGACTCTTCTGCTCTCAGAGCCTGTCTGGCTGTATAACTCTTTTCCTCTTTTCCAACTGCTTGCCCATCTTGCCACTGGTACATAGACTGCTTGGAAATCATCCCAAGCAGCAGAAGCCCTGTCTCAGGCTACGAAACACCCCAAAATACGGGTCATTAGCTTTCAGTGTCTGATCACCCTCCCCCACTGAGGTTACTGGGCCTTATGCCAAACTTCAGCCCTCGTTTATGGCTAATATTCCAGTATTACCAGTTAAAGCAGGTTTAAAACTAGCACAAATATGCCAAATTTCAGCCCTCATTTATGGCTAATGTTCCAGTATTACCAGTTAAAGCAGGTTTAAAACTAGCACAAATAGGGGACCAGCCACTGTATACAGTGGTAGTCACTGGACTATTTGGAGTTCCACAAAGCTCCTGCTTCTTTCCTGAGTCCCACTTTGGGCTCAGCCAGGCAATGAAAGGCCTGTTTGCCAGCCAGGCTCTGTGCTCACCTGCCTGGGCTGAGCCCCAGCCCCGGGCAGTGCTGGTGGGCTGTCACTGCCCTGCCACAGGGAACCAGGCACAGCACTGAGGCATGAGATGGGGCACCAGCAGCCAAAGCACCCAAAAACTGGCCAGGCCCCTGCAGTGCATCTCCCCAGGCAGTGCCTTCCCTGCACAGCTCCCCAGGGCTGGGCAGGGTCTGCCACCAGCTCCAGGACAAACCTCCCTGGCCCTGTGCAGGTACTGGGGCACCCCAGTGGCCCCAAGAATGAGGACTCAGGGTGAGCAGCTGCCTCTGCAGCCTGGGGAAGGTGAGTGTGGCTGTGAGAGCTGCGGCACCAGCAGTGACAGTCTGAGCAGCCAGGTGAGCTGCTGCCGTGGTCTGTCTGTCTGTCAGTCCATAGGAGCCCTGCAGCACCCCAGGCAAGGTCAGGAAGCACTGGGCAGGCCCTGGCAACCCCACGGTCCTGCTGGGCTGGCCACCACCCCACTTCAGGGGGAGAACCTTGGGGAGAGCTTTGGGAAGCTGCCCAGCCAGCTCCTGCCCTGGGGAGGTTCCTGCCACCCCAGAGCTGGTCCTGTCCACTTTTCCAGTTTGGAGCACGCACTGGCTGGCCCCAGCTGTGTGGCTGGACACCCCCGCTGTGGTGATCCCTGCAGAGGGTGTCTGTGCATCCTGGTGCACCCTGTATCCCTGGGGATTGAGGGGTATCTGCCTGCCCACTGCCACCCACAGCTCCAGGCCCTCCACGGGCCAGCTGGGACTGGGGACACGGTTCTGCACAGGGCAGCAGACTGGGGACATTGGCTCACAGGCAGAAGCTGGCACTAGACAGGGTGACCCCCTCTGCCCCTCCTGCCCACACAGTGGCTCTGCCTGCCTGTCCCTGCTCTGCAGGATGAATCAAGGAGGGTAAAGGTGCTCCTGCTCACCCCGGGGAGGAGGAGGAGGAGAGGCTGCCACTGGGTGTGCACCTGCATTTATTTCTGCATTTATTCAGCCTGGGCCCAGCCCAGCCCCTCTGCCAGCTGGTGCAGCCAGAGCTGGGCAGGGAGCTGGGGGCTCTGTCAGAGCCAGGCTGGATGAGGAGCAGCCCCCAGCCCTGGAGCAGAGCAGAGCAGCTGGGAGAAGAGGGGTGCCCCCCACTCCCCCCGGGAATCCCATGAGCCACAGCCCCCAGGCAATGGGGTGCAGAGGGGGTACAAAGCTGGAGTAGGAGCAGCCAGGAAGGGGGTGGCAGTGTGCCCCAGCTGGGGCCCCCGGAGCAGCACCGGGGCTGCTGAGGGAGGTCTATTAACAATTAACTCTATTAACCAAGAGTGGCCGCAGGGGATGCTGCTGAAGGGAGGGGCAGCTGCCCCCACGCTCGGGTGCTGCCGACCGTAGCAGCCCTTCCCTGGGAGGGCAGAGCCACCAGCAGCAGGACTGGGGTGCAGAGTTCTGCCCACACAAGTGAGGGCTGGGGCTGTACCAGGGCTGTCCCCTCATCCCCATCCCTGCCAGGCCAGCCCTTTTGTGGGGTGGAGGCTGATGGCCACCCCTTACTGCTGCTCAGGACTCCCCCAGCCTGCAGCTCCCTGTTCCTGCCCCTCACAAAGGTCTGCCAGCAACCAGGTTTGACCCCCTCCTTTCCAAAGAGCTGGCCAGCTACTGCAGGAGGAGGCTCTGATGAGCACTGAGACCCCACACTCCCAGGCTGCAGCACCCACCAGCTGAGGGGGGGCAGCTCAGCACCCCAAACCTGCGATTATGGGGATGTCAGCTCATAAAAAGGGGCTGGGGTAAGAGTGGGGTCTGCACTGACCTTGGAAGACTTCAGTACAGGCCCATCAGGCTCCATCCAGCTTGTTTAAGTTTCACTGTGGAGTGTTAGATTTCCTAAGCTTGTCACAGCATCAAATTCCCAAGTGGCTGTTAACTACTCTGATTTTGGTGCTTCCCTTTGATGCCTGCTGTCAGTGATGTAAGGGTGGGAATGAGAAACAGCAAAATAACCCCTAGGGTGAAGGTGCAGGGTGGAGCAGTCCAGGCCTGGATGGGTGGGCATGGGGTGATGGCTGAGGCCCCACCACCAGCTCACCCTTGGGCAGTTCCTTTTGGTGACACAAAACCTGGTGCCAGGGCTAAGAGAGAGAAGGACAAACATCCAACATGAATGCAGTACAATTTCACTTGCAGGCAAGTGAAATGTGGAGCCACAGGGCGAGGAAGTGAGGGGTAGGATATGCTAAAATATGTGTAAAAATAGCCCCAGTGGGCTGGAGACTGAGGAGGAAGAAATCCCTGCTGTGAACATCACACTCCTCCCAGCAAAGGCCTCAGGTTGCTCATGGTGAAGTCTCCAGCTGAAACTGCCACCTCACCCCACCTGAGGACACGGGCCAGGAGGGGCTGTGGACAGCTCAGCTGCTGCTGCAGTCTGTGTTGTAGGGATGGATTTATCCTCAAAGCAGGAAAAGGAGCTGGGAGTAGCAGCTTTTCCCTGCTGTGACCCCTGCTGATGGCTGCCTTGGCCCAGCTGCAGGAAGGGGGGCTCCTGTTCTCACAGGAATAACCCCCCGCGTGTCAGTGTCCCCAAGGATGCATCCTGGTTCCTGAGATATAAAGGCCACAGGGAATTACTGAGCTTTATCCTCTGCTCATCTCCCAGTCCTGTACAGCTCACAGCCCCAGCCACCATCCACCCAGGCTGTGCTCACCTGCCTAAAGGAAAGCAGCATAAAACCCATAAAACCCAGTTGTTCCTGACACCTCTCCATCAAGGAAACAACTGGGGAGCAAGAAGAATACAGTGACACTGTTGACACAAGGAGAAGAAGGGGCAGGACAGTGCTAGGCTGGTAGGCAGTCTGTGCACTTGGCCCAGCTCCAGCCACTTGCTGCCCAAGCTCCTGAAATCCTTCCCAGAGCAGAGGAGCACTCAGGCCTGACCAGAGCAAAGTTGACACTGGAGTTTAGGGCACCCGCCTCTGTCCAGGCAGCAGGTGAGTGCAGAGCACAGGGGATTTCACCAGGGCACAGCCACCCCTGGGTGTCAGGCAGCACAGAGCAGGACCTCCAGCACCAGCAGGGATGGCCATGGTGGTCCAGAGGCCACCCTGCCCTGCTGCCTGCAGGCTGCATGCCCACCCCTTCCCAGCAAAGCAAACAGAACTCCCCTCCCTGCCCTCGTCTTCACTGGCTGAAGTCAGGATGTGAAACACCTGCCTGTCCTCACCCATGTTTTCCAGCAAGTGCAAGGAATATTTACCACCCAGGCCCACCAAAAGAAACATGTGTCATTGTGTCACCAATTTATGGCTGGATGTCTTTAATCTTCAAAATACATCACAGAGACCTGAGGAGGAAGAGGAAGAACCAGCAGCAGGAACTGCCAAACCCCTGTTTGGGTGGGAGCTAGAGGAGTGCTCCCTAGTGCCATGGACATGGCTGGCTTTTCCAGCCTGGAAATTAATGTTTCCTGCCAAATTCTGCCCCAAAAGCTACCTCTGATCTTTCAGTGATTTGCTTTACAGAATGAAGATGAGCATGACAATGCATCAGCAGGTGCCAGAGCCACAGCTCCAGGGAGCTTCCCTCTGCAGCCAGGGCACACCAGGCTCCTGTGTCTCCCACGATGATGTCTAGTGCTGTGATCCCAGCTGAAGGGACAGGCTGGCACGCAGTGAGGATCCTGGAATGCTCACTCTGCCCCTGGGCTCTTAGTCCAAGCATGCAGCAGCCTCTAGTGTGCAGCTGGAGGTGGCACAAGGCTGTTGGGAGCAGGCAGAGAGCAATCTGCACAGCCAGCAGGCACGGTGGTCTCTGCTGTGTCACTGCTTCAGCTCTGAGCATCACAGAAATCCACCGTGGAAAACACAGGGCATTCACTTGTAACATTCTCCTGCTGGGACAAAACACAACCCAGGGTCTGGGTGATGAGGGAACAAGGGTTGGGCTCCTGCTCATCCCACTGATGGCAAACCCAGTGTCTCACACAGTCTTTGGCACTCTCGGGCCACTGCCAGGAAGCTTCTCTCCCTCAGCTCAGGTAGCAGCAGCACAGCACAGGTGAGCCTTCACCCAAGGACAGAGAAAAGGTTCTGAGAAATACAATCTTTAGTTCTTAAAGCACTTCAATGTTTAAATAGGCAAAAACTCTTGTGCAAATGATGCTCAGACAGGTGTAAAACACAGAGAATAGCACTTGGTGCCCATAGGTGCACCGCAGCCAAAAACCTCAGAGGGAGGGGCTTGTCTGAAATTCCTGGCAGGCCCTAGACAGGACAGAGGATTTCAGACACCAAAGTGCTTTCTCACACCTCCAGGCAATGTCACACACTGACCAGGGCACGAGCCAGTGTGGGCTCAGGTTTCATTCCTCAAGTCTGGATCTAGGACTCGTGTCCCTGCCATTCTGAGCAGGCTGATGCAGTGGGACATCAGGAGCTCCCCAGAGATGTTGTGACAGCAGGTGTGCCAGCACAGCTCTGGCATCAGCAGAGCCACCAGTGAATGCAACCCTGAACACACAGAGCACACAGCACCTCTGACAGCCTTTAATCTCTGCAGGCACACCAAGGTCACACAGCTGCGCCAAAGGAGGGGACACATGCCAGTCCAGAGTGCAGCAACTGTGCAGGTGGCACTGGCTGAGGGGCACATCCAGAGCTCCTGCCGCACCTCTGCGAGGTCCTGCTGAGTGGCACAGGCTGTGCCCACAGAGGGCATCCAGGGGCACCACAGCGTGTCCCAAGGTCACGCTGGCAGGGGCCAGCTCACAGCCTGTGGAGCCTGCCGGTGGATTCCTGCCCGTGAAGGTCACGCTGGCCGAGTGCAGTGTCCCAGGCTGGAGAGCAGACACCGGGCGCTGCAGGACACGGCCCCTGGTGACACCGCGGGGGCTGCCCAGCCCCGCCACGGCCCCGCCGTCACTTGAGGCCGTAGAGCAGCGCGATGGTCAGGAAGAAGAGCATCCCGACGGAGAGATCCGAGAGGACCCGCAGGCGTCCCTGTGCCGCGGTCTCCTCCCGCCGGAGGCGCAGCTGCTCCCGCCGCGCCCGCTGCAGCTGCTCCCGCTGCAGCTGCTCCCCGTAGTGCGCGCGGTAGAAGGCGTCGAAGTCGAAGGGCGCGGGGACGGGCCCCGGGCGGGCGGCGGCGGCGCGGGGCGGCGGCGGGGCGGCGGCGGCGGCGGCGGCGGGGCCCGAGGGCCGGGGCGCGTCGCGCAGCTCCGCGGCGCTCAGCAGCCCGCGGTCGTACCTGCGGCGCAGCGCGGCGCTGCCCAGCACCCGGTAAGCCTCGCTGACGGCGGCGAAGCGCTCGGCCGCGGCCGCGCTGCCGGCGTTGCGGTCGGGGTGGTAGCGGAACGACTTCTCGTAGTACGCCGTTTTGATCTGCGCCGCCGTCGCCGTGGGCGCGACCCCCAGCACCTCGTAGAGGTCGCGGCGAGGCCGGGGGGGTCCGGCGCCGCCCGTCTGCGCGGCCCGGGACGGCGGCGGGGCGCGGCCGAGCAGCGGGGCCGCGGGGAGGAGCCGCCGCAGCCGCCCGAGCGCCGCCGGCGCCATGGCGGCCTGAGCGCCCGCCCGGAGCGTGCCGCGGCGCGGGGCAGTGACGTGTGCACCGACCGGCCCGGTACGGCGCGCGGCAGTGACGTGTGCACCGACCGGGCCGGTACGGCACGCGCGGCAGTGACGTGTGCACCGACCGGCCCGGTACGGCACGCGCGCGCAGCATGGCGGGCAGCGGCCGCCGGCCCGAGCACCGCGGGCCGCCCGAGCTGGTGAGCGGCGGCGGATGGGAGCGGCTCCGCCGGGGGAACCGGGCTCCGCTAGGGGAACGGGCTCCGCTAGGGGAACCGGGCTCCGGTTGGGGAACGGGCTCCGCCGGAGGGAGCGGGCTCCGCTGGGATAGGAGGAACCGGGCCCCGCCGGTGGAACCGGGCTCCGTTAAGGGAACGGGCTCCGCCGGAGGGAGCGGGCTCCGCTGGGGGATACGGGCTCCGCTGGGATAGAAGGAACCGGGGTCCGCCGGGGGAGAAGCGGGCTCCGGTTGGGGAACCGGGCTCCCCTGAGGTAGGGGGAACCGGGCCCCGCCGGTGGAACCGGGCCCCGCCGGTGGAACCGGGCTCCGCTAGGGGAGCGGGCTCCGCTGAGATAGGAGGAACCGGGGTCCGCCGGGGGAACCGGGCTCCGCTAAGGGAACGGGCTCCGCTCGCGGATACGGGCTCCGCCGGGGGAGATCCGGGCTCCGGTTGGGGAACCGGGCTCCCCTGAGGTAGGGGGAACCGGGCCCCGCCGGTGGAACCGGGCCTCACCGCGGCCCCGCTCTCTCTCGTTGCAGTTCTACGATGAGGCCGAGGCCCGCAAGTACACGCAGAAGTACGGCGGGGGCAGCTGCCGGTGGTGGGGCGGGCATGGACGGGATCTACCGGGGCTGGGGGTGGCGCTGGATCCTGCCGGGAGCGGTGGGGCGCTTGCCGGGAGGCCTGGGGGGCCGGCCCGGCCGGGGGCAGCGGGGTCGGACGCTGCCGGGGGGCGAGGGATGCCCCGGTCCCGCCGGGGGGCGAGGGATGCCCCGGTCCCGCCGGGGGTGAGGGACGCTCCGGTCCCGCCGGGGGTGAGGGATGCCCCGGTCCCGCCGGGAGGCGGTGCGGGGGTTGCCGCCCCTCGCCCACGCCGTGCCGTGCCTCAGCTCCCGCGTGGTGGAGATCCAGTCCCAGATGTCGGAGCGCGCTGTGGAGCTGCTGGGGCTGCCCGAGGACCGCCCGTGCCTCCTCCTGGACGTGGGGTGAGCGCGGCTCTGCCGCTTCCGTGGCACACGGCGGCTGGGTGGCCCGGTGCCACGGCAGCACGGTCTTCTGTGGGTGCAGAAGAGGGACAGGCTGCTGTGACGCCGGGGTTGTGTGGCCAGCACAGCCTCAGACAGTCCACTGAGCCCGGCGTTTCCCCTTCCTCCCTCCAGCTGCGGCTCAGGGCTGAGTGGGGATTACATCTCCGAGGAGGGTCACTACTGGATCGGCATGGACATCAGCCCTGCCATGCTGGGTGAGCACAACCTCCCCTGACAGACCCTCAGAGGCCCCAAGGGCGGCAGCTGATTGCCCGAGCTGTGTGTGTTCTGTGCAGATGTGGCCGTGGAGAGGGAGGTGGAAGGAGACCTTCTCCTGGCAGATGTGGGTCATGGCATTCCCTTCAGGCCTGGCATGTTTGATGGCTGTATCAGGTGAGTCTGTGCAGCTGAGCTCTCCTGGCACCCCTGATGCCCACCTGGTCAGTCACAGGTGAGAGGCACTGGCCTTGTCAGCCACTCTCTTTGCTCTGTGCAGCTTGGCTCCATCACTCCAGGACAAACCTCCAAAATTCTGCATGTTAGAAGCAGCTTGTCACAGCTGTTTCCCAGGTGATGCTCACCCTTTTGTGCTGGTGAGCTGGGAGTTTTGTTGAAGGAAAGAAAGTAAAACTGGGGATATTGTCAGGATGGCTGAGACTTGCTCCAAGGAGGAGAACAAAGTGTTAAGTGGCACAGCTTAGAAAAGTCAGTTTCTGGATCAAGGTTCGATGCTTGGCTTTGGGATGAAGGGGACAGGGAAACTTAGCTGCTTAGAGAACAGCTGGGAAGAAGCAAGGGCTGTCCACTGCTGAGCCAAAAGCTCTGGTTTAGACTGCTCCCTGGGAAAACCTGCTTGGCCAGGCAAGGGACACAGCTGAACTCTCCAGCGTTTCTCAGGAACTGTAATGATTGCACCAGGAGTAAGGGGTTCAAGCTGAAAGGGGGGAAATTCAGGTGAGATACAGAGAAGAAATTCTTCCCTGTGAGGGTGCTGAGGCCCTGGCACAGGTTGCCCAGAGCAGCTGTGCCTGCCCCATCTCTGGAATTGTCCAAGGCCAGGTTGGACAGGGCTTAGAGAAACCTGGTCCTGTGGGAGGTGTTCCTGCCCACAGCAAGAACTGGAACAAGCTGAGATATAAGGTCTCTTTCAACTCAAAGCATCTGTCATTTTAAGATTTGAGCACTTGGACTAAAGGGGATGCTTGGTGGTGCTTTTGTCCTTTTAAGTTATGCACCTTGTTAAGTTTTGGCATACACTCCAGAGGGGTTTGTGTAGCTGTGAAACAGAGGGCAGAGCAACACGGAAATTTTTTCATTTCCCTGAGGCCCAGCACATGCCTAGTGCAGGAATTCAGCTCAAATGGAGGTGGCAAGCTCTGTGAAGGAACCAATGGTTCTGTCCTGAGGGTCTTATGTTCCTTTCAGCATTTCTGCAGTGCAGTGGCTCTGTAATGCTGACAAGAAGTCACACAGCCCTCCAAAACGCCTCTACAGATTCTTCTCCACTCTTTACACTGCCCTGGTAAGTGCCACCCTCCGCCTGCCAAGTCTCTGCTGCTCTTATGTCTTTGCTTTTTAGCAAGGTACTTCAAGTCAGGTTGTTTTCAGTAATTGCTGCTCTGAAGCAGGACTGGCAGGAGCAGCCTCTGCCTGGTGCTCTTTTCATCAAGGTTGGATTTGGTGGTTTGGTGGTCTTTTCCCAACCTAACAGTTCATGATTCTGGGATACCTGGTGTTCCCCCATACCTCACTGGCTCTGTGGGCTGGGCAGCTCTCCTGGGAGCCTTTTCCTGGAGGTTTTGGGGAGGAGGGAGTTCGTGTCTGGGGCTGGCATGGGGTGAGCCAGAGGGGTGACCTGCACTGGGACAGGTGTGTGATCAGCTCTGTTTCCTGCAGGCCCGAGGATCCCGAGCTGTGCTGCAGCTGTACCCCGAGAACTCTGAGCAGGTACAGCCCATCAGTGAGCTGGGAGGGGGTACAGGCAGAGAAATCTTTTGGGGCTCTGAATGCATTGTGTTTTTCCACATCAAGGCAGTGTCCATGTCCTGCCTGCCACTTCTAAAGCCCTTCAGGAGCCCAGAAAAATAACCTGTAAGGAGGAAACCTTGTAGAGGTTCTGTTGTTTCAGAGATTGTCTTGGCTGAGCCTTAAAGTGGTGGGACACGATGCGAGTGTGGGTTTGAAGAGTGGCTTAACTCGGGTCTGGAAAATCCAGCCCAGTATCTCTCCCCTAGAGAATCTGCTGTGCCAGCTAACCTAGGCTAGACTGAGGAGCAGGGAGAACCAACAAAGTCAGGGAATTGGTGTCTGGATGGGACTGCAGAACCAGGAGGAGGAGCAGTCCCTCTTGGGAATGCCCAGTCAGCTGTGGTGCTTCCAGAGGTCTCTTGGGCTTTCCTGGGGGATGATTGGTAATTAACTTTGCACCTGCTACTTTTCCCAGCTGGAGCTCATCACAGCCCAAGCCATGAGAGCTGGATTTACAGGGGGAATGGTGGTGGACTACCCCAACAGTGCCAAAGCCAAGAAGTGAGTCCTGAATATCTGTGTGTGTGTGTGTGTTTGGGGTAAAGCCTGGGTTTAGCAGGGATTTTTTTTTTTTTTTTTTCCCTTCCCCTGAGCTGTTCTCTCTCCCATTATACAGTTCTGGACAGAGGTTAAAGCTTAGCTCTGACTCTGTTATAAACCATCTCAGTCTTGCCTGTGGACTGAGACTCACATGCTGAATCCCACGTTTATGCTCCTTATTCTTGTTCTTTCAGGTTCTTCCTCTGTCTCTTCGTTGGGACATCTGGCACATTACCAAAGGTGAGGGTCTCCATGAGGCAGCAGATCTGCTGTCCTGGATGATGTGGAGGAGCTGTGGGCAGTGTGGGAGCCAAACAGCTCTGTGAGTGCAGATGTGACTTCATTTATGCATTTTCTGCCAGTCACCAAGCCCTGCTCTCATATAATCACTGACTGCGTTGGGTTGGAGGGGACCTTACAGCCCATCCTGTTCCACCCCTGCCATGGCAGGGACACCTCCCACTGTCCCAGGTTCCTCCAAGCCCTGTCCAGCCTGGCCTTGGGCACTTCCAGGGATGGGGCAGCCACAGCTGCTCTGGGCAACCTGAGCCAGAGCCTCAGCACCCTCATAGGGAAGAATTTCCTCCCATATGCAATCTAACCCTTCCCTCTTTAAAGCTGTTTTTCTGACATCTGCCTTTTTTTGCCATGATTTCTGGAAGACCAGTTTGTTCCTGCTCTGCTCCTTCCCCTTGCAGATCCCTGCATTCCCCTTAGTTTTGATGGGCTGTGCCTGGTCCAGAGGAGGACACAACTTCCCAATTTTGCTTTCCAGGGCCTTGGTACCGAGTGTGCCAGTGAAGAGCTGCACCAGGCAAAGTTCACCAATGAGAGGTATCGTGTGGGGCTGAGGCTGCAGGTCCTCCCCCACAAGGAGTGGCAGCCTTTGGGGGCTGAGCTTTACTGGGGATCACACTGCTGCTGTGTGAGAAGCAATGGGAGGGGAAGGCCAGGGAGGACTCATAGAACTAGTTAATTCCCAGGGCTCTTCCATGGGGCTGCAGGTGCTTTCCCCAGAGCTGTGGCTGAGCAGTCAATCAGATGTGCTTTCTGCCCAGCAGTGGGCTCTAGCTGGCAGTGGTGTGGGAGAGGGAATGTTTTCAGGGCTCATGATGGAGCCATGGAGGCAGGCTGCAGTGCCTCAGTCCTGGCATTCCCTTTTTTCTCCTGTCCAGGTCTTAGATGTGGCCTGGGGGTTTCTGCTGCTGGCCAGGTCTCTCCCCACAGCAGTGGTGCAGGGAGGAGCCCCTCTTGCAGCCATTGGGAGAGACAAAACAAAAACCAGAGGAAAGTTGTCGTGGCTGCCAGGAGCTTGTGGCTGCCATGTTTTCCTGCCTCTTACATTGCTGTTATCTGCTCACTTAGTCTAAGGTGTATCTGGTCTCGGAGGGCAGTAGCAGAGCTGGGAATGTTGGAGGAAGCCTGACTTTGTCTGCCTTGTTTGGAGCAGAGCAGGCAAGGGGAAGGTGGTTGTGCACGAGCCTGTAATGCCCTGAGATCCCAGAGAGCAGCATGCTGCTGGTGTGACTCGGGGTATGGCCTGGGGGTGTGCTGGACTGCTGGAGTTCATAGGTCAGGATCCCTCAGCTCCGAGCCAGGGCTGGAATCATCTTCCTCCTCCAGTGTGTCTGGAGTTTGGCCACCTGCCCCAGCGCTGGCTGAGCCTCCTGCCCAGCGTGGTGGGAGGGAAACTCACTACTTCTGTGGCCCAGTTCTGGGTGACAGTCCTCTGGGGCAGAGAAATGTGCCCCCACACCTCAGTTTCTCTCCAGCTGCTGTCCACTTTCCCCACAGGACACGGTTCAGAAATGTCAAGGGCAAGTCTGTGAAGAAAAGCCGGGACTGGATCCTGGAGAAGAAGGAGCGTAGACGCCGCCAGGGCAAGTGAGTCCAGCCGAGTCCTGCCTCAGAGGCTGGGCTGGCCTGCTGTCACCTGTCCAACCAAACTCCTGCCACAAACCTGCTCCTTCCCCTCCTGCAGTGACCTGCAGGTGTGCTGAGCTGTTCCCTGCTTTTCCCACAGGGAGGTGCGAGCAGACACCAAATACACGGGGCGGAAGCGCCGTCCTCGCTTCTGAACTGCTCTGCACACTGCTGGCGTGGAAGGTGGCATGTGGGTGCCTCCAGAGAGCCTCCTGTGGATGGCACAGATGGCACCCCACGCCTGGGGACTTGCTGGGACTGCTCATTGTGGCTCTTAAAGGTACAGACTGGCTCAGGTACTGCCAAAGAGCAAAGCTGCCAGGCCTGTTTCCCTGGTGAAGGTGCAGGCAGTGCTCTGGCACTGCTGCTGGGCAGTGCTCTACAGTGCCATCACTTACCTTCCCGAGTGCAGTGAGCCAGGTGAGCTCCAGGTAAGCCAGGAGGTGATATCCAGTTCCTCACTAAAGAGTCAAAGAGTTGGAAGTGTTTGCTGGTGTCCTGCGTCCTGCCCTTGGTGCTGGGAGTACTGAGCTGGGAATATGGTACCTCGTTCCCTGCCAGCTTCCCCTCTGCCTGCAGAGGATCCACACTAGATCCATGAGGACAAAGTTGCTGCTGGCACAAGTGTTACTCCAGTAGCCATTTGCTGCTGTTGGGCTTGGCACCAAGCCCACCCTGTTTGCTTTAGTGCTTCCAAAATGCTGGGGCTGATTGGACCCCCCCATCATTTGTTCCCTTCCCCTGGAACAAGGAGAGGTGCCACCCAGAGCTTTACAGTTACAAATGTTTATTCTACATAAAAATTCCACAAAATGGGAAGCTGTTTTGCACCCAAAGCCTTGGGAGGAGAAAGGAATGCTAGCAGGAAGGAAAAGAGGGAAGGAGAAGAGAGGCAACATACAGTGTCATCCAGCCCAGTGAGACAGAGCAAGCCAGGGTCAAGATCCACATAGAAAACAAGGACACTTAGCTCACAGTACAGCAACAGTAGAACTCCACAGGGGGCTCGGAAAGCCTTCAAGTACATTAATTACAAAAAAAAAAACCCAATCCCCAGTTCGAGTGCAAGCTGTGCGTGCCCCACACTGCTCATGGAATACTGCATCAACACGCTCCCGGCGTGGGGAGGGCGGGTGGCACTTGGAACAGAGGTGGTGGAACCCAAAGGACAAGCAGGTGCAGGTTGGGGGCTGGAAAGAAAAGGTGAAACATCTTCCCAAAGCACAACCACACTTGGTGATTTGGTCTGTACATGCAACGACAGGTAGGTGAAAAGGAACTCAATGGGGCTTCCCGTAGTGCAGGGGTAATTATTGCACCAAAACACCCTCCCCTCACAGCGAGGACAGTGTGAGCCTGCCTGTGGGGCGGCAGTGGCAGCCTGCTCCTCATCTCCCTTGCTTTGGAGCCCAGCACTGCTGCTGCCCACAGGATCCCAGCAAGGTGCCAGCGGCCCTGACTGGCCCCATTGACTCCTGCTGCTGTGGGGGCTGCTGGCAGTGGTGGTGCCAACAAGGAGCAAAGACCAAGAAATTCCCCCCCGGGGCAGTTCCTGGCCTTGTGCCTTGACCAGGGGTGCCACAGCCAAGATGTCAGGTGAGCTTGTGCCACTAAAGCCGCTGCCTGGAAGAAAAAGTTACCTTGTGCTAGCAGTTGGCATGGCTGCAGGGCAGGAGCATGGCTGCAGGGCAGCAGCCTGGGAGGAGGGTTTTCCTGCCTGCCCAGTGTTATTGCTTCCTGGAGGGGCCCTGGGGCTCTTGCCTGGCAGAGTAAGCATTGGCAGCAGTGGCAGGGAGCTGCTGAGGGACAGAAGCATGGCCACTGCCTCTTCCTGCAGCCAGACATGTTCCCCTGGAGCAGAGACCCTGCCCTTGCCTGCCTCAGCCCTGCCTGCATGGTCCGGGTGCCCCAAGCCCTTCAGTGCACACAGGCTGCAGTGCTGGAGCTCACATCGGTGCTGTGGGACTGTGAAGGAAGGGGGCTCTGGTCTGGGACGTTCCCATGGCTGCACCCCGAGGGGCTTGGAGGGGGCAGTGTGGGGAACCAGGCTGGAGCCACTTCCCAAGGGCAGCTGCATGCAGCAGGGGGCTGGCTGGGGGGACACCGGGTGACATGGCAGAGAAGCTGTGTCAGGGCTGCTGCTGGGCAGGGCTGGCCCTGGGGCAGGCAGCATTCTGTGGGGCAGCCACTGCCTTTCCCCTGCACCCAGGGGCACCACGCACAGCCAGTGCCCGGCCACAGCACCGTGCCAGCTTGTGGAGCTGCCCTGCCCTGGTGCTGGTGGGAGGTGACGCTGCCTGAGGCTGGAATACTGGCTGCCAGCAAGTGTCCCTTTTCTGCTACCAGCACCTGCCAGCCAGCCCCTGTCCCAGAGTGGCAGAGAGCCTAGCCTGCCTTGGGACTCCTCTGTGGTGCTTTGGCGTGTGCACAGGCCAGCCAGAGCCCTGGGGTCTCCAGAGGAAGGTGAGGGCAGAGCTCTGTCCCTAGCCTAAGAGAAACAGGCGATGGCAGTACTGCACCCCCCTGAGCTGTTCGTGAGACCCCCACAGCAGCTGCATCTGTGTCACGGGCACAGCAGAGGGCACAGGACACCCAGGCTGTCCCACAGCACCCCACTGAGAGCAGGTGCCTCACTGGATGGCTGGGCAGGGCACGGTGCCAGCAGCAGCAGGGTGCCAGGAGGTGGCAAACAGGCAGGCAGGCACTGGCCTGCTCAGAACCTGACTGGGTATGGGAGGAGGAAGGCTGCTACTCCTCGCTTGCAGGGGGCTGGATGCAGCAAGGGCTGCTCCTGGGACCACAACAGGAGAAAGCCCAACTGCTTCTAACCCCCGGCCATGGGTATGAAAAAGCAAGGCTGGAGCAGCCCTGCTTGCAGGTGAGTGCTGCCAGGGGCTGGTGGACATCAGCAACAGCCCCAAAGCCCGGCAGGCAGAGTCCAGGCCCGTGGGCAAGAAGAGCCAGGAGCACCGTGTGCCAGGGCTGAGAGCACTGCCACGAGGCTGTGCTGCAGGATGAGCAGCCAGTGAAACTCACTGGCCTTAGTGCCATCCTGCCCTGTCAGGCCAGCATCCAGGAGCAGCCCTCACATGCCCTATTCCTGTCCCCAGGCAACTGTGATAGCCCCAAGCAGCAGCTCCTTACTCCACACTGCTCCATCAGGCACCCACCACCTGCACCTCCAGCCTTTGGCACCCTGCTGGGGTGAGGGCTCATGTGGGGAGGGGACAGCCCTGCCACGGGAGGAGCGGCAGGGATGGAGCCCCAGAGCCAGGCAGAGTCACTGGCCAGGCAGGGCCGGGCAGAGCGCACCCCTGGGGAAGGGCCCCGGAGAGAAGCAGCCCAAGGGAAGGTGTTTGCAAGCACAGATGCGGCTGACAGACATGAGAGCTGGAGGTGATGGGCAAGCTGGGGAGGTTGACTGGGCACCACACTCCCAAGGACCCCTGACACCCATCATCCCTCCCTCCTCCTGCCACACAGACTGCCCATCACACCGCGAGCAGCAGCGCCCACGGGCACTTCCACCCCCCACCCAGTCCCAGGCAGCCACCCAGCCTGGAGCAGTGATGAGAGCTCGGGGTCCCCCCCGGGGTCCCCCTTGCACCCATCACCATCGCCGGCCCCCCGCCTGCGCCCCGGGGCTGGAGCTCCCTCCACACAGACGCACCGCACCGCACACACAGCGTCACAAACAACCATGCATTAGAACTGAAATGCTGCTGGGAGGCTCCGGGGCTGCGTGGGTTGCTCCGGTGTGGCTGCAGCCCCATGGCACGCGCGGCTCCATCCATCGCACACAAACAGTCCCGGGGGGTGAGGCTAGCCGAAAATGCCGCCGAAGGTGGAGGCGATGACGATGCCCAGGATCACACAGCAGATTATGATCATGATCTTCTTCTGCTCGGGTATCCCAGCAGCGGTAGGGAGAGAGGGGAGAGGGCATGGTGAGTGTTGGGGCAGGATGGACCCAGGAGTTCAGAATGGCACTCTGTCCTGCGCCCCTTTGCCCGTGGTGGGCTCTGAGCAACACCCTGGGATCCTGAAGGGTTTGGCAGTCCTGGGCAGGGAGGGACACTCCTGCTCCTCCCCTGGCTTGGCAGAGCTGAGCTGGTGGCCTTCAGGGAGCAGGACAGACAGCTGGCACTGTGCTCAGAGTCTGAGCTGAACCATGACCTTTCCTTATTTTGTTTTTGCAAGGAATGTGGCTCTCACAGCGTGCCTAGTCCAGGGGTCCACCTCATCCCTTTTCCTCCCCCCAAGCAGCACCCCTGCCCTATGGCTCACTGTCATCTTTCACACAGTCTGTGCTGGGAGCTCTGCCTCAGCTGTGCAACCCTCAGGACCCGGCTGCTCCCAGTGGTGTGGGGCACTGTGGTCCCTGGGCACTGCAAAGCTGTGCCAGGCTGCCTGGGGCAGGCGAGGTGCCAGCCAGGCGCCGTGCTGGGATGGAGGTGTCAGCAGTGCAGGAGGGGCAATGGGGCCCGGGCAGAGCCGTGACTCACCCGTCTGGCTTTGCTCTGGTACTTCACCGCTTTTTTGGTGTCGGACACAGCCCGCTCCACGTAGTCCACCGAGTGCTCCACGTTGTACTCGATGCGGTCAATCATTTCTCCCTGCAGGAGGAGGACACAGCCCGCGCGCCCCCGCGCACACAGGCGTCAGCTCCTTCCTGCTCTGCTGCTCCCTGGCTGCGGGGGGATGCTGCCCTGGCCAGCAGCCCTGCACAGAGAGAAGCACCATCAGAGCTGCCTGTGCCTCTGGGTGCTCCCTGGGCTGCATGCCCCGTCCCAGAGCATCTCTGTGCACATCCCAGCACGGAGACAAGCAAGGGTGAGGGCCAAGGGAGCTCCCAGCCCAGTCCTGGTGCTGACCTGTCCAATATCTCAGGTGACATCAAACCCACAACGGGATCTACACCAGCACCACCCCGCATGCTGCTGAAACAGGAGCAAGGCCAGTGCCAGCAGCACCAGGAGGGATGCCCAGGAAACCACGCACGTGCAGGGACCAGAGCCCACCACTCCCATCCACCACTCCCATCCACACAAGCGCCCACCGAAGGCAGGAGGGCCCGGAGCGAGGCCAGCCAGCACTGAAGAGCCCTACAGAGACCCCTGCCCCATTCTGCCCCTGCTGCAGGGGTAGGCTGGGAGTGGGGGCTCCTCTGGGTGTGGGGACATGGGTGGGGGCAAGCTCCTCCAGCCTTGTTCACCTCCTTTGGCCCCATCCTGACCAAGTCTGCAGCAGCTGGACAGGGCTGGCAGGAGAAGGAGGTTTGAAGCCCTGTGTCCTCCTGCATGGCATGGAGGGAATTGAGGGCACAGAGCCATGGGCTCATAGCCAGCAACCCTGCAATGCCCATTTCTCAACCTAATGCTGGAGAGCACAAGGAGGACAAACCTCGGGGGTTCTGAGCACTGAGCCCCACCAACTGCTCCCTGTCTTGTGTGAAACTGCTGCTGCTTCTTCCTACCTGTGCC